TAATGAGGACCAAAGAATGAAAGGGTTTGATGAAGGGCTTGATGAAGTGTTTGATAATGAAATTGATGGAGAACCAAAAAATGGACCAGTTGCAAATGATGAGGGTACTACTCATGTAGAAGAACAAGAAAATTGTGCTTGTTCCCTTTGGAAATACCACCCAGGCCAATCAAGGGATGCCCAACCAAGCCAGTTAAGGGATTTCCACTCAGGCTAGTCAAGGGATGCCCACCCAAGCTAGTTAAAACTTACCTACACAAGTATCTCAAGAGATGCCTACACAAGCAAGTCAGACTAGCAAAGTCAATTTGGCACCCAAAAAATGGTAATGTTTAAATTAAATTTTGTGCTTGTATGTAATTAATTATAAGACTAGGTAACAATGTTAATGTTCTGCTTGTTTAATGTAAGGGAGGCCTAAGGGATCTACCAACAATTGTACAACTAAGGATGGAATAAAGAAGACAAAAGTCAAGGAGGGAAAAGCCAAAGATGTAATTGTCAAAGATACAACAGTCAAAGATATAACAATCAAGGAATCAGCTATCAAGGAACCAACTGACAAGGAAGTTTCTGTCAATGAAGCAACTAACACTGAGGAACCAACTGTCAAGGAAGGAACTGTCACTAAGGAGACAACTGTCAATGAAACAACAGTCACTGAGGAAGGAACTGTCACTAAGGAGACAACTGTCAATGAAACAACAGTCACTGAGGAAGCAACTGTCAAGTCAAGAAAAGCAACTTCCAAGGAAGAAAATGTAGTAGAGCAAATTATAACTGATGCAATTGTCAAGGAGGGAAATGTAACTTGCCAAATGGTAACTAAGCCAACTGTTCATCAAGAAAATGTCACTGAGGAAGAAAGAACATTCTTGGCCCTGGAAAGAAACCTGATGACCCATTGGTTCTAACTGAAGATGACAACACAGCTGGTAAGAATCTAACCCAATGAAGATGTCATATTTTGCTCAATGTATCTGTTTAGGAACAAATATTTTGTTGTAATGTCATGTCACTGATGTACTATTTTGCTCAATGTAATGTACCAATGTAGTATTTTGAACAAATTATGGTATACTGTAATGTCACTGATGTACTGTTTTGCTCAATGTAATGTACTGATGTAGTCTTTTGCTTAATGTAATGTATTGATGTAGTCTTTTGAACAAATTATGGTATGCTAATGTAATGGTACTAATGTAATATTTTGAACAAATTATACTATGCCATAGTAATTATACTATTCTGGAAAAATCATAATATGCTAAAATTATAGGTCACCTTATGTCTAAAATTATAGCTCATATTATGCCAAAATTATAGGTCACTTTATGTCTAAATTTTAAGGTCACCTTGTCTGCAAAATTACACATCATACTATGTCAACATTATACATTGCACTTTGTCTAATTTATAGGTCAAATTGTGTGAAAATTTTGAGGACCATTGTGTGATATTAAAGGTCATAACTGAACAATACAGACAATACCAAATCATATACCATACCAATTGAACAATGCAAAAACAATTACACCAAATTTTATTTCATACCAATTCAACATTACAAAATCAATGACACAACATTACAGACAAAACCAGTGAGACAACATTACAGACAAATCCACTTAGACAATATTAAAGACAAAGATCAATTCAACAATTACACCTAATTAACAAATACAAGTTGACCAAGAATGAAACTACAACACAAATTATCTTCAGCTTTCCCCAAAATGCCCCTGCCTTTATCTTCATCTCCAACCTCTTGTTCTTCATTGATGATTCATAAAGCTCCTTCAAAGTTTCTACAACTTGCATATCCCTCACCTTACTCTCATCTTTCCTCCATTCTGCATATACACGTTGATCATCATTCTTTCCTTGTGCAATTTCATCATCCCAAATGAATAAATTGCAAGTACCCTCTTTTTTCAATACGGGCATCTCCAAAATAATTTACCTTTATCCTATCTATTCTTTGTGAGTACCATTGTTTGAAGCAAATTTTTTTAGAGATTAAACTTGAAAGTTGACATATTTATAGGGACTTCAAACATATTTAACCAAAAAAATTATGCATCATTATATTTTTTGGGTCAAACTTCATTATACTTTTTTTGTCTGCACCACTGGTATCCGGTTCACTGGATCAACTAATATGATTCAAGATTAGTTTTGACATTAAGTGGTTTTAGCTCTCTCCCAGTTACAGTTGTTAAAAATCAAAACCTAATTTTCTCTATCAAATTTAGTATCAATCACCACTAAACTAAATAGCGTACGATAGCTTCGTCATACTTTAAACAATCGTGGAAACACTAATTTTCTTGTCCCACACTATATGCCTCATCCACTTTAATTTATAGCCGCCATTTTAATCAACTGTCCAAGTGCAGATTTCAGCTTAATTAGCAACATGACTTTTTTCCTGCTTTGGAAAAACATCGCGATTCTTTAGTTATCATGATTCATATAGAATCTTTATATTAATTTAGAAACAAGTTGTTTTTGGCTTATTTACCAATTTTTTTATTATAATGTTTTATTTTCCAACTTTAGCAATTAGTATCCAAATACATTGAATGTCAGCTATATGCAATTAGACCATGTGATTCCTCAGTTACAAAGATTTCATTTGGCTTCGTGTTTTTAATTATTAATATGAGCCAGATATAAAATTTGCGTGAATCAATTTTCTTCTTTTCCTTTTTGCAAGTGTTTTTAAAATATTATTTGTTAATATTATTATTTCATTCTTAACTATATATATATATATATATATATATATATATATATATATATATATATATATATATATATATATATATATATATATATATATATATATATATATATATATATATATATATATATATATATATATATATATATATATATATATATATATTTATATATATATATATATATATTGTACTACATCTAACTCCTCTTTTATATTAAATTATATTTGTACTTTTTTATTTGAAAAATAAATATATATGTACCTTTAGGTAAAATATCAATAAATAAATATGCACCTACTATTTGTGGTTGCAAGTGAGTACCAATTTAATATATCATTAATTCCTACTATAAATTATGGAACAATAGAGGACAAAATAAAGTTTTTTAAAAGTATTACATTGCTTAATAATTCCTTTCATTTTATATAGATAAAAAAATTGGTACTATAACATCAAAATTAGTTAATTAATGGGGGCATTAATAGAACAAAAAATTGAAAATAATTTCTCAAATTATTTATTTATATTAAATTTTGTATTTATTTTTAAAATATATATAATTTAAATGAACTAATCGTTTAGAAAAAAATAAGTTTATTTTAGATCAAACACCAAATAATTAAAATACCTTTTTCATCTAATATTAAAGAATTAAATTAAAAAACAAAATATTTAAACTATATATTTTAAAAAAACAAATATATAATACACATCAATTGAATCAACTTTATATTATTTTTAATTTTATATATTGAGTATTTTTTTTACATATAATTACATAAACTAATTCTTAAAAAAACGACAACAATTCATGACAAAATTCTCTTTAATAAAATGTAATTGGCCAAATTATTAAAAAAGAAAATTAAAAGACCATCCTACCACACAAAAAATAATTTAAAAAACATGGTGTAATTTTGCCTTCTTAATTTAAACAAAATTACATTTGTATTCTTCCATTGAAAACATTGACATTTTTGTCTGCTTCCATGACAATAACCACCTTTATCTATTAACCACCCATTCACAATGGAATGACTGTACCTTTACCATCATTTCAATGCACTCATTTACCTCTATAAAATTTATTACACTAGTAAAATTAACCTAAAGTTTTTTACCTTTGATGCTACATTAAAAGCCAATTTACCTATGTTCTATAGAAATTACCAAGGGTAAATTTGAAGGACAAAAAGTGTTATATGAATGTGATCATGACAAGTGGCCTTGTGAAAACTATAAATGAAGAAAAGAAACCTTATTTTTAGCCCCACAAAAGAAAAGTAAAAAATATATAACTTTACTATTAATATTAAAAAGATGAAAATAAACACAACTAAAAAGCATCCACTATTCACCACCTATGTCACATGAAATTTAACATCAATCATTCTTTTTTTCTTTCATTTCACATTAAAGATTCTAATACATATAGGTTGTCACATAATATCACTAAAAAAAATCGTTAAATTATATTTGATAAATTATACAAAAACATCGGAAGAAATTTTATTTATTTACTTTTAAAAAACGAAATTTACATCGTAGAATGTGAAAATTTAATTATTCAAGTTTAAATTTGATATTTTAGGTTAAAAAAAATTAAAATTGTTTGATCATCAATATATTCTGAACACGTGAATGCTAAAAATATTACAATGGAAAAATAAATAAAAAAATTGTTTCAAAACCACATATTTAACTTCATATATATTTTTTAAATAACATTTATCATAGAATTAAAATAAATAAATGTATCACAAAATTACTTCACAAAATCCAAATCCTTTTACCTTTCACTATCAAAAGTTATCTTATGCATGAATTGAGTTAAATAGATGAAATTGCATCATTTAGAGAACCTATAGAGGCATAAATCAAAATCAGTTCTGTCTTATTCTTGCCTCTTGGGACCTTGCTGCTGTGTACTTCACCTCTTGTGGGGATGTCCTTGTTCTTCTCTCCATCAAAAATACATCATAAAACTACACCCTCCTTTCATAAATTATAGTATCAAGATTCAAGTTCTACATAAAGTTTTTTCTTTGAAGCTTCTTGTTCCAAGAAAGGTATATATATTATCAACAATCCCTTTTCATAACTTTGTATTATGAATATTTTATGCTCGCGTCTCTGAAAATAAAATAATGACGATTATGATTGATTGACAGTGTATAATATAAATTTTTTACGCAGATAGTTTATATGAGTTAAATTCTTTGTTGTAACTTTTTATGTGTAGGAAGAGAAAGAATGGATGATAAGTATAGGCTAGTTAGGAAGCATAGTGAGCTATGGAGAACATTGAGAGATGGAGATTTTGAGGAAGAAGAAATTTGGGATGTTGTGAAAGAAAGAGAAGATTACACATGTGAAGAAGTTTTTCACCACAAGGCAAAGAACAAAGAACTATCTTCTTTTCCGATTCCGATTGGTTCGAGAACGATTCCGATTCCAAGGACTAGTAGTGAGAGTAGTAGCGCGAATTCGTCTCATGAGACAAAAGGTTTTCAACAATCATCGGCGCCGGTTAATATTCCGGATTGGTCTAAGATTTATGGTGGTGGTGAGAAGGTGAACAAGAGTGTTAAGAATGTTTCAAGGTATGGTAATGATAATTATGGTTACTATGATGATCATGAAGGTGGTGATGATGAAGTTTTGAAGCATGGTGGAGAAGGTAGTGATGAAGATGAAGATGATGGGGAGAATGGTACTAGGCTGCCACCTCATGAGATAATTGCAAGGAGGCTTGCAAGGAGTCAGATTTCTTCATTTTCTGTTTTTGAAGGTGTTGGTAGGACACTTAAGGGTAGGGATCTTAGCAAAGTGAGGAACTCTGTCCTCATAAAAACTGGTTTTCTTGAATCATTGTGATTATGGGTTTCTCATTTCATCAATTTATGAGGTTATGTAGAGTTTTAAATTACGGTTACGAACTTTGTATCGCATTAAACGTTGAGAATCCAGTTGAAAATTGCGGTTGTAATATAGTTGCAAGGACTTCTCAATATTTTCTGATGCGCGCGGTACTGTAATTTAAAACCATAGTTAATTATAGTCAGAACTATCTTTTAGAGTGTTTATTTAAAGACGTCTAGAGAATTACTACACTGAATTTAAAATTTGTCACGTTTAAATTATAAATAAATAGAATTTTATAAATATTTATCAGGTTGATTAAATAGAATTTTTATTTATTTTATCAAGATTGAGTCGTGATTAAAAATTTAAGATGGTTCGATTATAGGTTAAAGGATTTGCTTCATTCTCCAATTTTGTGAAATTAATTGGGTTATTGTAAGTTGTTTAAGATTATTCTTGCAAAATATTATGGATGTGTTAGGTTAAGTATTGAATTAAATCATAATGCCATTTAACATTTTTTTTCCTTCTTTATTTATGTTTGTTTTTTTTTTTTTAAATCAAGTTTTATCTTTCTCCCAATTTTACATTCCTATAACTTTAATTAACTTTGTCCTCTGTTTTCTTCAAATATGTGAATGTTAGAGACCAACACAATAATAATACATGTTTTAAATTATTTTTTAAATTTGCCTATATATAGATAAAATAAAAAAGAGGTTATTTATACTTAAACATTAGTTAACTATAGTTTAATTAAATGCAAGACAAGTTATTTTAGGATAGTTTGTATTCCAACATTTTTGTCTCATTTTTGTTGTTGTGGAATCTATAGTTGATAGTTAAATTAATAGAAAAGGAAAACGTCTCTATATGGGTTGAATAATTTGAGACTCAACAGAAGTGGAAACCATAGTACACAAATAATTTCTGTACAACATGTCTCTTTAATATGACAAATCATTGATACCATCTCTAAGAACATAAATTGATGCATTGATTAATGTGAATAAAATATTGTCATTTTTTATTAACCAAATAAATATGAATAATTGAATGATGCAGATTTGAAATCACGTCTTTGAGGTGGCAAAACGAATGTGTTCGTCATAAATAATTATTATTTTTTGTATTTTTTTAAGATCGCGATACTTTCTAATATGTCAATTTTGCTCTATTTAAATTTTTGCAGACGTAAATATTAAGATAAATTTTATAGTTTTTAGATTTTAAGAGGTGCTGTCTCACTCTTATTTTTTTTAAAACGGATCAAAATTTTAAGTTTCCACCCTAAATCATATTTGTCGTTGCCCATTTTAATTTTTTGTGAGATAGATTTAAATATGACAAACATATCTAATATTTCTGATATATATCATGATCTATCAATCGAGTTGGTTTAACTACGAATGTTAAATATTAGGTGATTTTATTTTGTGTAAATTAAATTTACATCAACATAAGGAAATAAGTAATGTATTACACATCTACAATTATTGAATCATAGTGCATTAAATAGACAAAGACATGCCACCAACTCAACATTTTTTAATTACTTAATGAATTTAATATTGAAAAGAATAAGTTTATTATCTAATAATAATGATATGTAATGAGAGGGGAGAAAAGAGGGACCAATCACTATCAATTCTAGATGTTGATTTCTATATATAAAAGAGAAATATCATTTTCATAGAAGCTACGTATAGAATTAGCTTTCTTTAAACTTTTTTAATCTCTTACTATGCTTTCCATTTTAACTTTTTAAAATCAATTTTAGTGCTCAATGCTTAAGTGTTCCAATTATTGTTAAAATACAAAAGTACTTAAGATAAGATTTGGACTATTATGTAAAAAAATGGAGTGAAGTAAGAGTGGACATAGTTGATGGGGTCCACACTTTTGATAGGGTGGTTCTCAATGTCACTAGATGTTTGTTTAATGGAGGAAACATTTTCTTCTTTTTGTGTTTCAATTTTCATACTTTTAAAAAAAAAAAATTTTTTTAAGAGAGTTCGGATCTAAAATTCAAAGAGTATATTTTGAAGACCAAGTAAGAAAAATATTTGGTTGAATTATGTTGAACTATGTTGGATTCACTTTTATGAGAAATTAACAAAAGTGATTCGAAACAAAATTGATTTTGACAACAAACTCAGGTTTATAGACATTACTTCAAACACAACTTTATTAGATTGAAATGATGTTTGATTAATTACCATTGAGAAAACAATTATTCTTCATGAATTTGACTCTAGTTGAAGCAATTCCTTTGAGTGTGCTTGGGATATGTGGAAATAATTTAATTTTTATTTTAATGAAGCAAGAAAAAGATATTCATTCATCAATAGGAAACAACTTCATTATGGAGGATAGAGACAATGGAATTTAAGACATTTCCCACCTAACGCATAGAACCAACATGAAAAGCCAATGATGTTATGTTTTTCTAGTAAATCGCAACTTCTGTCATAGTAAATCACAACATCAATCCGGTTATATAAAATCAAAAATCACAATTGATTATAGTTCACTAAACATTAATTTTCTTTAACATTCTCCTAAAAGCATTTTTTTTTTTTTATGGAAAAGATGTTTGTATTAAACAACAAAAGACAATACAAAAATACAAAAGAGTCTTGATGATCAATTAAAGTGCAATCATCTAATTAAGTTCTAGAACCTAAAACTTTCTCCACTCTCACAGGATTATGAGCAAGGATATTTTTGGCTCTACTACCACAACAGTTTCTAAAGAGAATTCTACAATCCTCTAATAGGTTCAATGCTAGCATACTCCTGATACAAATTAATACAATAAACCACATTCAAAGAATTCGATTGAAGCAAGAAATTCCTAATATTAATGTTCAATGCAAGTTGTATACCTCACCTAATGATAAGACATTTTATAGTAGTAAAGTCTAATAGCCTCTTTTCAGATTTGCATGGTGAGAGGAGGACCTTGTTTATTTGGTTCTTGAGTATGCAGCTAAAAGCAGATAGACCTTCTTCAAAAACTCCTGCGTCGACCTGAACAATGATAGTGTTTCCTTTGGAGCCATACTCATCAGTATTGAGAATGGACCTGTGCTTCTTGTTTTCATTCGAAGCATTAAACTCTTGCACCATGTGAAGAGCCTCTGTAGCCACCTATGAAGGGGATGAGGTCCTAGCATAAAAGACAATCGAATTTCTTGCCAGCCAGATTTTATAAAGGGTAGCACTAATAAGTTGGCAAACTAAGGAATCATTATAAGGCAAAGACTCCTCAAGCCAGCTACAAATACCATATTTTTATTAGTAATAATTCATATTTTATTATATTATTTTCTTAAGCCCATAAGTTTGTTAGAGGGTATTTCAGTATTTTATCTTATTCTAGTAACCCTAGTTTTAGCCTATAAATAGGGTGACAATCATTGTAACTCAAAAATCCTGTTTCTTCTGCCGTCATTCTCTTTAATAGAATATTTCCCTATTTTCATTATTCTATCTTTGCACCAACAATTGGTATCTAGAGCTCCGGTTCTGATTCATTGGGAAACACGGGAAACACGAGTGAACGTGAGGTCTTGTGTGATTGATTTTGTTTCTTAGATTCACGTTGAATCTTGAACAAAATCTGATCAGAATTTTATTCTGTGGGTTGGGAAACACTGTGTGAGAAATCTGAGTGTATTGTGCAAAGTAGAAGATGAACGGAAACGGCAACATGAACACCAAACTTCCAGTATTTGATGGTAAAAACTGGAATCGTTGGATGATCTAAATGCGTGTACTATTTGGTGCTCAAGATGTTCTAGATCTTGTCACTGATGGTTATGTTCCAGTAGCAGCAGATGCAACCGATGAACAGAAAAACGCGCAGAAGGAAGTAAGGAAGAAGGATCAGAAAGCATTGTTCTTCATTCATCAATGTGTGGATGTAAACGTGTTTGAGAAGATTGCAGACTCTACAACAGCAAAGGCTGCATGGGACACTCTGGTGAGATGTTATGGTGGTGACGCATCAGTGAAGAAGGTGAAGCTTCAGTCCTTGAGAAAGCAATATGAGAATCTCAACATGAAGAATAATGAGAAAGTTTCTGAATACATCTCCAGAGTGATTCTGATCACTAATGAGATGAAGGCATGTGGAGAAACTCTTTCTGAAGAAACAATCATGGAGAAAGTATTGAGATCCCTTACTCCTCAATTTGATTACATTGTGGTAGCAATAGAACATTCCAAAGATCTGAGCACAATGAGAATTGAAGAGCTGCAGAGCAGTTTAGAAGCGCAAGAGTTGCGTTTGACTGAGAGAACTTCTGAAAGGGAAGTAGAGCATCAGGCTCTGAAAGCAATTTCTGATAGGAGGTATCAGAAGCAGTCAGAAGCCAAGAGAAGATCTGATGGTGGTCAGAAGTCAGAAACCTCAACCTCTGATAGACAAAAGAATGCTCAGAAGGGAAAAAAGAAGTATGACAAGAAGAAGATACAATGTTACTGTTGTAAGAAGTTTGGTCACTTTGCTAGAGATTGTTGGTCAAACAAGGAGAAGAAATCAGAAGAAGCAAATATAGCCAGAAGTTCTGATGACGAATCTGTGCTATTGATGGCCTCTGAATCTGATGATCTGACAGACTGGTGGTATATGGACACTGGCTGTTCAAATCATCTTACTGGAAACAAGAAATGGCTGGTTGACTTTGACTCTGAAAAGAGGACAAAGATCAGATGTGCTGATGACAAATATCTTAATGCAGAAGGTATGGGAAATGTCAGAGTGACTCTGAACAATGGGAAAATAGCATTGATTCAGAATGTTTGGTATGTACCTGGCATCAGAAGCAATCTGATGAGTGTGGGACAATTAATTGAGAAAGGTTTCTCAGTTACCATGAAGGACAATCTTCTGAAGCTGTATGACTGTAATCAGAAGTTGATTATGGAGTCAGAACAGGGAAGGAATAGAACATTCAAAGTGAATGTCAGAACTGCAGACTCAGAGTGTCTTAGTGCAACAAGTA